TTTGCTAACCTGTTGCATAAACATGACAATTTCGGAGGCGATTAGTGCACGTCGATTGCGCGGGACGGTGATTAATTCAAGAATCTTGGCTTGACCCAACTTCATGGTCGCCTCCGCCTCGAGCAGAGTGTGCATGTAGAACAGGTCGCGGGCTGCCTGTACTTTCATAAAGCGCAAACGACACATAGATCGGTATGCTTTATAATGGCTACCTTTGCTCATATACCAGCGGGGGGACTCGGGACAGGCGAAAACGAAGGTGCATACCAACATGGCAGGGAACATGGCGGAGCCTAACATCAAACGCCACCCTAGCCCAGTCACGGTGGGAGTGTCGTGCACCTCGAAGAAGACAAGGTCAGACATGTAGCCGAGCATGATGCCGAAGGCAGTCCACATCTGCCATTGCATAACCAGCGCACCACGAATGGCTGGTGGGGTTGTTTCTGCAGCATAAATGGGCACTGTGGCTGATTTGGGGCCGATTCCGAACCCTAGGGCAAAGCGACTGATGAATAAATGCCACCATGAGTTCACGAAGCCTTGCCAAAAGCACGCGATAGCGGAGAAACAGCAGGTAATAAACACTGTGCCGCGCCGGCCGAACCAGTGGTTAAAGGGGACCGTAAGCCAACAGCCTATTAGGGAGCAGCACAGATACGGAGCTGCATTCACGAGGCCAACGAGCCATGTTGAGCGTGGGTCGAGGCCGCCGATGCCGAATTGGGATTTGTAGAAGATCTGGGCTCCATTGACGACGGATTCGTCTAAGGTTTTGTTTAACGCTGTTAGACTTTGAATTAAAGGGAGACCCCGGGGGGGGGGGGGGGGGGGAGGTTATAGTTCAAGCTTCCGATCCAAATGGAGTGGAACCATGGAACAAGGAAAGGCAAAGGCCCAATAAACCAGCAAGGCGAAAACTCAATCTCGGGAAAATCAACAAATGTGGTTGGTGTGGCTATACAAGTATTGAAGAGCTTCAAAATCGACAAACTGAAATGTGACATAAGGATCAGGGAACGACAAGATTGTGGAGAACAGTCATAGAGAGAAGTGGGAGAAATACTAACCCATCCCTTGAACGGCCGCGCTGAGCGAGCAAAGAATGATAACCAGATACATAAGACCGGGCTGCGACCACCGATTCGTAAACTCCTTCCTGAGCACCTCCAGCTCCTTCTCCGTCAAACCCTGGACACTTTCATATTTCTCCGGCGCCTGCGCCAGCACCGCGCCTAGTTCAAAGGCGCGGATATCCTCCTCGTCGCCGATCTGGTGCTGGCGGGCATAGCGGCCGCCGCGTTTCATGAGCGTGGCATGGCTGAGACCAGCAAGGGGGTTTGCGAGCTTAGCATTGAGGTTCCGCCGTGCGCGTTCTGCAGCAGTGAGTGATTCGCGCTGTGACGGGACGAACGAGTGTTGCCGTTGTGTGGGAAAGGGAGTTGGGGTGCTCGCGGTTGTATAGGAGGCTTTTCGGTTTGTCGTAGTGGTGGCTATGTGATCGAGTTCAGAGGAGGAGCGGTCGGAGACGCCTGGTTCTGCGTCAGATTCGAAGAGTTTCATAATATCGATTGAGAGGGATGTAGATGAAGATTTTGGAGGGGCGGATTTTAACGGAGCGGGGGGTATTCGAGTGGTGATGACGGCAATGAATGAAAAATCTGGGGAGAGTCCCAGGTGGGACTCTCAATAGGAAGCAGATTCGATATAAATTGAGTGAGGAAGTGATATCATCTTGTCACAGAAAGAGTACAAAAAGTAAATTCGTGAGAGAGAGCCCGCCAGTGTGGATAGTGGACGGATATGTACGATGCGGAAATTTGCTCGGGTAGAGAAATTAAGCCGATACTTCTATTAATTGTCTATGAATATTTTGCTTTTCCCCAGTCTTTTCAGCAAAAATCAGAAAAGAGGGAATGAATGGGAAAAAGCGACCCGCAAACATTTATAACATTTATGAATAATGATATAAACCTCTGGAAGCTGTCCTTGGGGAGCTTTTGGGTTTGATTCCGGCGGGGAAGAAACGAGGGCAGAGTTCGTGATGACGATAGCGGCGGATGGAGGGTTATTTAACGAAACGGCCCCCCCCCCCCCCACCACCCCCAGCTAGCTGGCCAACGAACTCTGTGCCGAACTCACGTTGGAGCAGGGCCTGTCTCGGTGAGTTGGCCGAGTAAATTAATTAAATTTAGTGACCGGTGCTGGAGTGTAGCCACTGAGCTAAATAGAAGGATTAGATAGCCCCAAGCAGAGCCGTGGAAAATCAGGGCTGTCAAGGCTGTCAAGGCTCTCAAGGCTCCTCTGAGCGCTTCGCATCTCCGCACGAAGGGACCCAAGGCCTTGGTATGAATGGAATAGAGTGTCCTTGCGTGTATGGATCTGACCCGCAGAAGTAGTTATCTGATCTGGAGAACAAAGAGTCCGCCGGGTTCAGAATACGATGTCCCTGTTTCAAAGAACCGCGCCGGAAGAGGCAAACGCTGACCGATCCGGCTTATCCCCGCTGGCGACTTGTTTTAATCCCTAGTTAACTAAATTAACTGCATGTGTCAGCATCGGGGCAAATGGAGCGGAGGGAGGAGAGGGACTCGGTGCTTTTGTTAGAGGATGAGGGCCAAAATGGGCGCAGAATCAAGAACCATCCCTGGTTGTTATGCGCTTGGTGCTAAGTTAGCCAGTTAACGACCACTTTGCCCTTTGCATGTTAATTAGTTAGTGAATAGTTTGATAAGATATAATAAAGCTCCACGCGACCGACTTCTGGTGTTGGTTGAAGGCGAGAAAGAACACGATGCGGAGTATTTAATCATGGAGTAGTTAGTTAGTTAGGGCTAATCGCATGCAAAAGAAGCCACGCTCCCCTTTGCTCCCCTCTCACATCCAGTTAACAAGTTAACTAATGCTGCGTTAGCTGCTACAGGTAGTTACGGAGAACAGCCAGCAACTATGCTCAAGCTTCCAAGACTTCGTTATTCCCTCAACCAGGAGCACCAGGTGGACATAAACCCCCATAAACTAAAATAAGTTGAGGCATTTAGTTCTATTTAGTTTTGTTGCTCTGTCAGCGACCCATTACGAGTTATATAGGGGGACACCGGTAGAGCAACTACTCCGACGAAGATGAGTTCTGTCGCTCATGATGGTTGCGAAAGCAGTGCTATGACCGCCCCCACACACAGAATAAGTCGTATGTGGTTCGTTAATGTGGCGGAGAAAACGGACTGACATGCGTTGGTGGAGCAGGATCCTGACGATTCATTAATGAAAAATTGATTCAGGAGAGATAAAAATAGGTTCAATATTAGTTACACCCCCCCCCCCCCCGGGACGACGCCGATAGTTAATGAGGCACATCAGAAGACGATCTGCAGATGAAAGTAAGACAAAAAGCTGCAAAACAAAAGCTTGTCGCATTTCCTTAATTATTAAACGTCCCACCGGCCGGTAAGCTGGAAAATAACCAAGAATCCGGTATGTCGAAGAGAAACTGTGAGTCCTGTGGTAGCAAAGAAGCAATTAGATGTCAGTGTCAATTCAACAAGAGAACAAAAACAGATGACAAATGAAATGGACAGCAGGGAACTATCAATCCGGACATCACATTGCTCCAAAAGTGTGTTGAATGTTGAACCTCTTCTCCACCAAGGCTCTGCATTCAATAGGAAGAAAGCAAGAACAAAATTAGAGATGAAACTCACCAAGCCTTCCCATTCAATCCCCTGATACTCCTCATAACCTCCATCATAGTCATTACTAGAGTCATTCGCCCCCGCACTCCCGTCCTCCTCTTGCTCGTCAACCTCCCCACACCCAAACTGTTGCGCCCGCTCCTTTAACCACGTATAGCATTCTGCAACCGCCAACTTAC